CCATCCTATCCCCGCATCCATATCCTCGGCTCCATCCCTACTCTCCGCCTAATCCTCATCCCCGTCCCCATCCCTGTCCCCGTCCCCACAGCAGCCCCCAATCATACCCACGGTCCCATCCTCATCCCCGGCCCCAGGGCTGATGCTCTCAGCGCTGCTCCCGCCACTCCCCCGCCCCATACCGCAGATCCAGCCGACCCCCGCCGTCCCGGCCGGGGGTTGGGGGGCGGCGGAGGTGCCCAGCGTCGGCCTGACAGCGCCGACAGCAGGGGGGGCGCCGGGGCACCCTCGCTGGAGCAGCACTCACCCTGGAGGGGACGGCCGGTGGGCTCGGCGGGCCGGGCTCTTCCTCCGGGTCTCTCTGCCTTCCCCTCTCAGCCGGCGGGCGGGTCCCCGGTGGCGGTGGCGGCGGGGCGACAGCCCATCCTGACTCCCCCCCCTCTCCTCACCCTCCCCCTCCTCCCCGGGGGGCCGCTGTCGCCCTGCCCCGCGGTGCCGCGCCGTGCCGTGCCGCGCCGTCGGAGCGCTCGGCGTTTAAATGCCCCCGACGCGGCGATCTATCAGCGGCAGGAGCCGGGAAAGTCCCGCAGGCGCCGCAGCCATTGGCTGCCGCCCCCCACGTGCCTGCCCGCTGCCTCTACCTTCGTGTCATTTTTCCTGCCGGCCCCATGGAGGAAGTGGGAAAGTTGGCGCGGCCCCGCCGGACGCTGAAGACCCGGTGGCGGCGTGACAGAGGGACGCGGCGAGGATGAGCTCCTTCCTCGAGTACCCCGTCCTCGGCGGCGAGGCGGGGGGCTGCGCCTCCCGCACCTACCACCCCGACCACGGGATTACAACTTTCCAGCCCTGCGCCGTCAGCGCCAGCAGCTGCAGCGGGGAGGACCGCTTCCTGACGGGCCGCGGGGTGCCCATCAGCCCCCACCGCCACCACCACCACCACCATCACCACCACCCCCCGGCCCAGCCCGCCGCCTACCAGCACCACGGCGGCCTGGGGGTGTCCTACGCGCACCCCGGCTGCGGCCCGACCTACGGGGCGCAGGGCTTCGGACCGGCGTACGGCCCCTACCCCCTCGGGCAGGACGCGGAGCTGGGCGGCGGCTTCCCCCCCTGCGCCCCCGCCGTCTACTCGGGGAGCATCTCCTCCTCCTCCTCTTCCTCCGCCGCCGCGCAGCACCCGCACCCTCACCAGGGCTACGCGGGGGGGCCCGCTCAGTACGTGCCTCCCCCCTACGGGCAGGAGCAGCAGAGCCTGCCCCTGGGCACCTACAACCATGCCCTGTCTCCCCTCCACGCCGGCCACCGGGAAAACGCCCGCTCCCCCTCCGCCGAGACCTCGCCGCCGGCGCAGACTTTCGACTGGATGAAAGTGAAAAGAAACCCACCCAAAACAGGTCAGTGGCCGGCGGGAGGGCCGGGGCGGGGGGCCGCTCCTCTCCCTCTGTGCCGCGGGTGCGGGGGAAGGCGGCGCGGTGCCCCGCGGGGCGGTGGGCAGGTAAGGGCGGCCCGCACGTCTGGGAGCCGCCGCAGCCGTCTGGCCCGCGGCGCTGGGAGCCAGCCCCGCTTATTCCCCACTCCCCCCCTCTCCGCCTCTCCCGCGGTCATATTTCTTGTAATTCATAAACCACTTATCAAGTTTCCTCTGACACCAGAGGCTGACTCCGGTTTAGCACCTCGCACTCCATCACTCACCCTGCCGGGGCTTCCCTCTTATCCCAAAGAAGTTCTTGCTCCCTATCGCTTAGCCGGTGTGGACGTATTGATTACGTCGCCTATAAATCATTTGCGCTCACTTACCGCTGCATGTCCCCCCCCAACCCCTCCTCCCCGCAGGCAAGGCTGGCGAGTACGGCTTCGTGGGGCAGCCCAACACCGTCAGAACTAACTTCACCACCAAGCAGCTCACCGAGCTGGAGAAGGAGTTTCATTTCAACAAGTACCTGACCAGGGCCAGGAGGGTGGAAATCGCCGCCTCCCTCCAGCTCAACGAGACGCAGGTGAAGATTTGGTTCCAGAACCGGCGGATGAAGCAGAAGAAACGGGAGAAAGAGGGGCTCCTGCCCATCTCCCCCGCCACCCCCACGGGCTGCGAGGAGAAGGCGGAGGACTCCTCGGAGAAGTCCTGCTCGTCTCCCTGCAGCGCCTCGCCCGCCTCCTCCTCCTCGGACACCCTGCCTGCCTCCAACTGAGGCCCGACGCGCCCCGACGGCCGCCCATCGCCACGCAGCTGGCGGCCCTTCACCGCGGTTCTGTCGGTCCCCTCCGTCGGTCCCTCGGTCAGTCTCCCCGGTGGTCCCCCCGCCCGGCCCCGGGGGTGTCGGCTCTGCCTCCCGGCCCCTTGGTGCCAAGCGATTTTCTTTGCCCCCCCCTGCCCCCCAACCCTTCCTGCCGGAGGAGCTGTGTCGGCACACGCGTAAGGGTCTCTCCCTCCTCCGCCGCAAGGACGCTCCCCCCGAGTTTCCCTGAGTGACAGACAGGTGATCTAGGGTACATAACCTCACGGAGAGATGCACTATTGCAAGTGTTTACACGACCCATAGGACTTTCATCCCCTTAATTTAATGTATTCTTTGTTCGTGTCTATGAGTTTGTTGCTTGTAAATACTTTGTCCGAGAGATTTATCTTTTTACAGATTTTTTCTAGAAATGACGTTTCGATTATCAGGTTAAGCAGGGTGAGCGCATTCGCCAAACTGGATCCACTTTTATATCGGTGAAGCTGATGACCGTACCAAGCAAACGTCTTAAGCTCAAGCAGATACCTCAAAAAAAAAAAAAAAAAAAAAAAAAAAAAAAAAGAAAAAAAAAGTAGCGCTATTTCTTTAAATGTGACAAACAAGGCTTCAATTGCACTAGGTTTTGTAAACCTTACCCGGTGTGCTTGTCCCCATCCCTTCCCTTCTCCCCCCAAACTGCGCTGGATTATACTCAACCGAAGGGTATAACCGTCCCAAAGACCTCACCTCTTCCTATTTTCATATTAACTTTCCTTTAGACTCGGTGTCTTTTTCAACCTACTCGTGAATGTGACGAATGGCCAAATGAATGTATAATTTCTGTGGTTGGTGTCCGGACCATTGCATGAGGCGCCGTGCTTTGCTGTGCTGCGGGTACACTGAGTTCTATCAGTTGTGGTGTGTGAGCCAAATGTCCTTCTCATTTTCTGTACAATCATGAAAGGCTCTGGGATTCCGCCGGTGATGGAAGCCAGGGCAGGATTTACGGGTCCTTATAATGTCTGTAATAAATATATTCCACTTTCAGGTAGCCCTCGTCTGCCTACCTCTGCGTGACGTCAGCGCTGAGTCACAGACTGGGCTCAGCAGTTTGGTTTCCCTGATTTTCTACTGCTGGGGCCTTTCCAAGGGGGAAAGGAAGGAAGAGTCTCCCAACGTTACTCTTCATGCGTTGTTTTTGCCGGGGTCAGAGCTCTGGCTGCCCAGCCCGACTCGTAACACAACGTTTCTTCCTTTCCTATGCTCAAATAATATTATTTTTAGGAAATATAAGGCCCTCCTCCGTAACTGGGAGGAATTTATGATCCCGGTCTATTTCTGAAGCACAAACACGAGAACTTCCTGGGTCAAGTGCTAACCTTTTCACCTCGGGATGGATGCTGACACTTATATAAACAGAGCACCCTTCAAAACCAGAAACTGTCTTCAGCCAGTCTTTCCTCACATCGCAGGCCCCTCGCCAAGGGCTGCACATTTAATTAGCCCGGGCACTAAGCTGCTTCGCCTTCTCTCTTCCCCCCCACCTTTTCCCACCCCAGGCTGCCATCCCCAACGTCCCAACGTGGGAGATGGCTCCCAGGTGCTTGGTGATGTGCTTCTGCCATTAACCCCAGCCCATTCCACCACCACTACCTCTTTTTTTTTTTTTTTTTTTTTTTTTTTCTTTTTTCCCGGGAAAATAAAAAACCCCCACCCCTCTTCGCAGGTAAATATAATGAGATTTCCAAGAGGTGTTAAATAAACAGGGGGTAGGGGAGGCGGGTGGGTGTGTGTGGGGACAAGGCGGGTGGCAGGACGGAGCAGAGACACGCTCAGCTGGACGGGGGGGGTGTCTCAAGTCAACGCTGCCTCTTGAATTTCAGCCCAAACCAAACCCGCGGAACACCTCCGCCGCCCGGCGCAGCTGCGGGGGGGAGCGTTCCCGGCTTTCTCCCGGGGCTGCCCAGGCAGGCTGGGCTTTGCGGGATCCGCAGAGAGAGCCAAGGAAATTTTCTTCACTTGGGTGTCAAAAGGGACAAGCCCTGATTTGCAAGGCGCGGCGGCCATATCAAGAGGCGAGCTATCTGCAAGGGAGCAGGGCCGCCTCCAAAGGCTCCCGCCGATGCCTCTATTTCTTTCATTTCCCCTCCTGCCATATACTTTACCTTTTGTTTATTAGTGTAAAGCCACAAAGCAAAACAGATGGTCTTCTGCCAGAGACTTGGATGTGTTAAAGTGGCATTTGCATGCCAATGAGGGCATTTCAATATCGAAATCTGGATCTTAAACATTGCTGGAATCCGGATCTGCAACCCTGCGCTCCCCCGGTGTTGACTTAATGTGTTAGAAAGAGCGGCCATAAATTATAGACTAAATGCGAGAGACAAGACACTTGTCAGTAAGTCAATCTGCGGTGAGCGATTCATCGGTAAAGAATCCCGTCTCCTTCCCAGCCCAAACTCCAGGTTATCTTTTTTTTTTTTTTTTTCTTTTTTTTTCCCCCCAGCCCTGATCGATTTCAAGCAAAGACACCCCAAACCTCCCAATCGCAGCTCATTTTGTTGGCGTTATTATTATTTCGATGCGATCAACCTTTCGGGTCAGGAGAGTGTGGGGAAGAGGAATGAAAATCTTTAACTTACAGTTTCTCCCACAAAAAATATCGCTGAAAAAAAAATCACAGCGTGCCTTGGCCTGATGGAGACACTAATTTGCCCTTCAGGTCGTAGGGAACCTTCTGTTTTTACACTTTTAAAATTTTATTTTTTTTTCTCTCTAGAGTCTCAAGGGAAAAAAATGAAGGAAAAAAGCCCCACCAAAAAAAAACCCCAAACCAAACCGCATCCAAATGTCAAACGGAGCGTAGCATCTTCCTATCATACTTAAGGCCATTTCTGCTGTTCACCTTTAAAGTTTACTTTTGGAGGCTATTGAGATGCTTTGGTGTTTTCCTCTGGGGCAATCAGATTGAAACCGATCAATATTTACTCAGTCTGAAAGGGCTGTTGAAAAGGCAGCTAACAACAAACTGCTTAGCTGCTCTCCCCTCTTTAATCTCAGGTTCACCGAAAGTTCAAGCAGAAATGAATTCGGTGATGGGTCACTTTAGAATAAATCCCAGTGGTTAATCTCGCAGCCTCGGTAAAGGCAACAATTACAGAGTCATCCCTCTCCCTCTCGCTGTCTCCCCGGCAGAGGCAACTTTTCCTCTCATTTTTGCCCAGCAGTTTTTACTAAATCATGACCGCTTTCCGCTGTTTTTTTTTTTTTTTTTTTATCCTGTGCTTCAGAGGCAGAACTGTTTCCTCCTGCTACTCAGACACAGCACATGTTAGCAATAAGTGAATCATATTAAAGATGTAGAAGAAA